GAAGCAAGCTCGAACATCTTCAAAGGAGAGGATAGTTGGAACGAATGAAATTCTCCTTGAAGAAATCCCGGCACTATTCAACTTCTTACTTCTACCCCAATTTTCCGCAAATAGGCCGATCTTGATCGAATTTTTTACGAGGTAGATTTGGCTGAAAGTTGGGTTCTAGGGGTAATTCGACCTCCTGAACACGAATATCACATCCACTTGGCCTGAAACTGCCTGGCGCCCGCGCCACAGGCGCCGGCGCCAAAAACCCTAAATCACCGAATTCGCTGAAAACTTGTCCCAGGGGTAGTTTGACCTCCTGAACACGAATATCACATCCGCTCGGCCTGAAACCGCCTGGCGCCCGCGCCAAAATACCCTACCAAACCACCTGAAAACTTGTATACGGAGGTTATTTGACATCTTGATTACAAATATCACATTCATTTTTGGCGCTGGCGCTGATGGAAGACGCGAAGATCATCTGCGCTGTGCTAAGGCAGAGCCTGGCCCGAAGGGTATACCACTCCTTCTCCCAGGCCCAGCCTTAGAAGAGCGCTAAATGGCGTTGGTGTCAAAAAATAAATGTCATATTCGTGATCAGGGCATCAAACAACCCCATTATGCAGTTTTTATCGATTATCATGGAAAAGGGTGTGGCGCCAAACCAGCATTCAATGGCGCCAAATGGGGGAAACCAATGCGGTATTTGTGATCAATCGACTCCGGTGAGAGAAGTGGCGGCGGTGAAGAAACGAGTGTTATATTCGTGATCAAGAAACCGAATTACCTCTATGGGCAAAGTTTCAGCAGAAAATTTTTTTACTTCTTGGGGTAGTAATAGTTGAATAGTGCCGAAAACCCTAAGGAACACGTCACAAGTATTCTAGCGTTTTTCGAAAGGCAAAAGCTGAGCTGCTGACTGAGGGATAATCTTATGCCATTAAATCATTGGAGGACTGCCGAACCAGTGAGAGAAAGAGGTTATGGAATGAAGCGCCGCGCCGCCCTTGGTGCCTGATCGTTGTGGAGCCCTCAAGAGAGGCCTTGCACTCAAGAGTCATTGTGGTGAAGCGATCGGACACAAAACCGTTTTGGATAGACTTTATATACAGCATCTCCTAAGAGGTTCTCTTCCGTTTTCTCTATGATCGGCGAGCCCACCCTGGAAAACATAACATAGTGAAGGCGTGCGGAGGAGGTTGAAGTTGATTAGGTGTACAAGAGTGTTGATTTTGAGGCAACGGTGGAGACGTGTCCTTGACAGACCACCCCTTCGTAGCTTCAAATCTGATTCTCATTACCCACGGAACCCCTCCCCAACTATCTCGATATGATGAATATAATATTAAATTAAATCATCTCAGACCTTTTTAGGCAGCCACTCCCGTTTATTACATGATTGTCCCCGTTTGTATAGACGAAATTATCGACGATTCGCTTGACCTCTGAAAGCAGAGGACAAGTATTTTTCGCATTGATACTTCTTACTTTAGTTTTACTTCTCGAAGGAATAAGAACAGTAAAACACTCACGGATAGGAATTCTTGTCGAAGTTCATACTTATTATCGGCAATTTTACTCTTAATCTTCTGCAGATCCATCCTCTCACTCAATATCGTAGTAATCTTTGACCTGACAAAGAACCCATAAATCCAATGAAACGGAAAAACGATTCGGCTTTCTCCTTTCTCAGACTTGGAAACATCTTTAGGTTCTTATAGAGCCTATGTACGCTCACACCAGAGCACTGGTACTGATCATTCACGCGTACGGTGTGATATAAATCTTCTATGCTACCTCTACTGATGGTGAGCACAGAAAAAAACTCTGCCGGTTTTAAGGACTCCCAGTGAGTGATTATCAGCTCTCAATAAATCGGTGGTGATTCCACAAACATACCTTCTTTGCGTTCACGGCGAACATCAAATGCTCAGAACCAGGGATCGTCTTCAATTCGTTCACTAATTTCGTAGCAAGTGGTTCCCGCCATTGTAACCTGGAAGTTTGCACACATTTCTTTGAAATGCTCCTACTCTTCCGTGAAGACTCAATCTCGATTTTCACCTAACGCGAGACTTTCTAAGAAGAAAACCATGTGGAAGACCCTAGCACACATAAACGGTCAAAAGCACGCCCCACGCTGGGAAATGGTGATTTGTGCGGCTCAAATAATGTTATGGCAAATACAATAAAGTCAAAACGCACTGAAAATCCTCTCCGAACGTGCCGCATCTAGAAACCCTGCTGATCGCGCATTGTATGTCGCATAAGGCGAAAAAAGGGTGTGGTGGACAAGTTCTCTTTTGTTGACAAGCTATTTCTCCTTATCACCTCACTCTCTCCTTTCGAAATGGAGATAGTGGTAGCGAAACAATCCTATCAGCAGTTAAAAATGAAATTGGGTGTCGCCGCGGCTATAGGGCGGAGCCGTCCCATCGCGGACGGGCAGGGCATTCCTCACGTATTTCAGAGCTGCGAAAGAAGTTCATACTAGAAGAAACGCCTGCAGGCAAGACCACCATGTCCAAGGAAGGGGCCTAAATATCGGATGAAAGGGGGACGTGCCTTCAAGTTGCTTGTTCGTGTGTATGTGTGTATGTGGTTGCTTTACCGAGCGCCGTGAATTTCTTTTGATTAAGACGTAAAGACTCTAAATTGAATAAGTGATAAAGGGAATGTTAATGGAATATGTACGATTGTAGATAGAACATGACAGCGACTGATACGAGCTCATAAATGGTGTTTTGAAAGAAAGCGCCAGTAATCCCATAGTATCACAGCATCAATTGGGCCTTTGGTTTCAGCAAGTGATATAGGGAATGGCCTAGGCATACTGACTACAGGTTGATAGGAACTAGTAAGTGCTGAAAAAGAACTGATGGGAGGCGTTGAAAAAGAAGCATCGCCAACTTTATAACGCGCCAATCACCCAGGCAGGCAGTGACGCGAACGAGCTGTACAGGAATAGGATGAAGAGTATTGAAGCAAAATCTTGTAGCTCCAGCAGCAGGGCACATCATTTGGTTCGGGGATTTAAGCTCGAGTCTGGTTGTTTTACGACCCCCCCCGCTCCTGCGCCCCTCTGTCCTCAGTCGTCGAGCGAGGGGGGGGGGTGGGGTAAATAGCACAAGCGAAACAGAAAACGCTCGAGATAATACGATCCCCCCAGCTTCCTGCCACTTTTTCCAAAGTTTCTCCGAAAAGTTCCCATCTTTTTTAAATTTTGCTGTCGAGTCGAGCGGGAGGGGGGTATAGTACGCATGAGACAGGAAAATCACAAAAAGTCAGCTACTGCTCCTACAACGGCAAAACGTAAATACGACCCCACCCACCCCAAACAATGACAGTAACCCCCACCCCTTTACTCGTCCGTGAAGTGAGAAAAATCAACTATCAAAATAAATTTTTCCCATCCCAAATACGACCCCCTCTCCTAGCGGCCAAATACGACCCCCCCCTATTGGGGATTCCCCAAAAACGATGTGCCCTGCCAAGTAGCGATGACCAGAGTCTCATTTAGTGAACATATTTAACACGTTGACGACCGCGCGGGTTTTTACTTTTCGGCCACGTGGGACCGGCGCGCTTTCTTGAACGGCACAAGCGCGGCATGCATACACTTCAGGCCGTCCCACGAAGCGCTTTTTAGGAGATTGGATCGAAAAACCTAGTTTTTAGAGCAGTTAAGAAGTAAGTCAATTATTTACCACGGAAAAATCTGGGCTGGCCAACTCTCTTTGCACCAGGGCCAGGAAATAGTCTGTAACCAACAATTCATAAAAAAAAACGCAAATCGTGCTTTCTATAGGATTCAGAATCTTTTCACCTAATATTTTTTTCATCATTATCAATATTGTAATTGTCTGTATTTGTTGGCAGAAAGTTAATCGACAAACCAATCAGGGTAAAGGAGCAAACATCCATAGCAAAGGATGGATGTTTCCGCAAGGATGATGTTTCCCCAAAAAGTCTTTGCTAAACTATTGTGTACTGAACTATTCCATGGACCACGCGCTGTACGAGTATACTAAGGACTGGACTATAGAATGAATAGGAGAAACTAAACAATAAATCATGCACTAGTGAAAGATATGGATTTGTTCACCGTGATTCGTATACAATTCGCGCGGTCCCACGCGGCCTACAAAGCGCGCATTGGATGCGAATCACGCGGTCGTCAATGTGTTAATTTCCTTTCCGAATAGAATCAAGCCTTATTCGACCGCTATACTATATTATTCCAGGTAGTGTCTGTTCTGTGGATGCAGTGAGCCAGCCAAACTGACAAGATCGTAATCAAAAACGATTACCTTTGGATCTGCACGTATTCTCTGGACACTCTTATGGGGTCCTTGTAGATAATCTTCCTCTGGAAGAGTGGAAGCGCGGCGTTTCGCTGACGCAACTGCTGTGGCGGCGTTGAGTCGTGGACGAGGGGTAACTGCTGAAAATTTCAGGCAATTTCACCACCAAAATGGTCTGTTCACAATCAAGGCAGCAACCGAAATCGACTGCGCCTATAGAGGTGATTCGGTGGCATGATCGCGAAAAATATGACACTTGTTTTTGGCGCTGGCGCCAAAACCAAACGGTCCTCATCAATTACTAATTTGGCTCTACCACCTTTAGCGAAATCGATGAAACTTGTATAATCGGGGGGAGGGGGGGGGGGTAATTGACATCTTAATCAAGGAAACGGCACCTATTTCCTGCACGGGCGCTAATGTGGGACACTCTAATCATCTCTGCTGAGCCTGGACGGGAAGAAATTTACTCTTTCTCTCCAGGCCAAGCTGTACCAAAGCGTTAGAGGA